CTAATTAGCACTTCAAGCCCGTCCGATCAGATCTCCCGTACGATCCATGGATCCATGCCCAAGGAGCCTGGCTCCATGCGTCGCGTTGCGTCGCGTGTGTCGCGGAAACGTGCAGGAGGCCTGGTCGCCCAGCAAAGCACATTGGTGTTGCCTGGAACTTAGCCAGATCTGGTCTGGTGAAGCTGGTTTGCCAGATGAAGCAATGAGGCTGAGGGAATGACCCTTTGATGTCCACCTATGGTGAAACCGCGAAATCTTGGCGAAGGATTTGCTTGGTGATTTGGTGTTGGGAATAGGGAATTTGCTGAAAGGGTCACCAAAGGGACTTAGAAGATTTTTATTGATGTTGGATTGTGGGAATTGGATGGAATTGGGCAGCAAGCAAAGAAGCAACATATCCAAAACGCAAAAGAACAAGAGAACACTAGAAGCTAGCTTTAGATATGCAAGCTTATCAAGCAGCGAAAAGGGATTTAACAAAATGGCTTAGCTTTATTAACTTGTGGTCTATACTAGTACATCGTATATGCCTTATGTGGATCTCGGACTGGTTATATATAGGTGCACCTTGCCAGGAGAAAGTGCGAGTGAAGAAATGCAAGTGCCCGAAGAAGAGGGAAACTCGAACTCGACCTATTGAAGCTCTTCTTTTCACAAGGTTGGAGACCCAGACCATCCCAGACCTGCTTGGAGAATCTTGTGGGAACCATTTGGTTTCCCACATGGAACCACCGTTTTCCACGGGGTGCACCCAGGCGCTCACCGGGGCTATGGCTGTCCCTACAACTGCGACGGCCAACGGAGCGACTGGAACCATGAGCAGCAAGAGCGCCTTGGTCGGCACCCGCGGGACGCACGTGTGATGCACGTGTGAGCATCGCGGGACCGTCAGACGTGAGCATCACGCTGGCCCCTCGGGTGGCGAGATGCGGGACCGTCAGCCCCTCAGGTGGTGCTGTGAGCACCGCCAGCAGGGCTGCCTCGCACAAATGAAGTACGAGCTCCGGCCGAAGCTAGCAGGCCCAGGCGCGACGACCGCAATTCAACGGCGCACATCGCCTTTTTGTGGTGATGCCTGAGCGGGGAAAGGTGCCAAGTGAGAATTTATAACAAGCTAAACTTAACCGACCGTAGTGGGCCTAAGAAATGCAACTGAAAAGATAACAAAAAGGCATTTCACCTGATGAGGTTGATTAGGCATACTCCAAGTCTTTCATTCTTTGCAAGACTTGCACGAACTGGAGAACGTTGCTTCAGCCTGTCCTCGCACACCCAAGAGTGGGGGGGATGAACATCCCTTCCTTTCGTGACAGCACGAAAGGAAGGGATGTGAAAACGAGGGCTCGTTGAGGATGGCGCCTCATTGGTGAGACATTGAGCCCTTTCACTTTGAAAGGAAGGAGAGGGCGCCCAGGTCTTTTTAGACTTTGCATGGTGAGTCACGGTGAGACATTGAGCCTCATTGGTGAGACGTTGAGCAGCTCCGTTCTCCAAACTCAATGAGCAAATGGGCCTATACTGTACCGTAGTACCACACGTTTCAGTGCTCTTCACTTCACCTGACCAGGTCAGGAGTTTCTTTTTTCGCTGGGTGGCCTGGGAAGGGGGTGAAGCCACCGGCAGAGGTGTCCAATCCTCGCTGTCAATGGTGGCGCTGCTCTTCATCTCCTTGGCCTTAGTCGCTTGGAGACTTGGAAGATACCGCCAGGCTCGGAACGGTCCGGAGTAGTTGGTGCAGCGAGGCTTTCCGAAAAGAGACGAAAGGGTCTTCTCATGACAAAAACGGACAACGAAAAGAGACGAAAACCCAAACTCCATCCTGACTGGTGAGGTCCTTGGTCACTCACCGGACATGCGGTACCATACGAGTGTACCATACAAGTGGTGGTTGTGATCCACCTGTCAGTTGTTGTTTCAGAATGTCTTCCCATACCCCTTCGGCAGAGTGTGCGTGTTTGTTGAACAAGGGGTGACATCAGTGACATCTACTTGTTGCACGTTGGCCGGAGAGGCACGCGACCAAGACTTTCTGGCGGAATGATGGCTGGCTACTGCGAGCCTTGTACCAAAGCATACGACGGCAAATGCGCTCAATCCTTAACACCTTAGACCTTGAAATGTTGAAGTTCCGATGGATGGATCAAGTATGTGTGTTTGTCCATATTTGACACCTGTTAGTGGTATACCCAAAAATTTGGCCTATTGTTGGCACGCCAGCATTTGGAGGTCTGAGGCACTAGTAGAGTACGAGATCACCCTCAAATGTGCAGACATCACATTTCTAGAGTCTAGGGTTCATCAGTCTTCATATGAGTGTCTCAACAAAGAAGACCTTCAACCATGGAAGGTGAATTCCCCATTATTCCCCTACTATTCTCATGACCCATTTGAGGATGATCGCATGTACAGAGCTTGACGACGTTGCGTGTGCCACTTTAGCACTAAGAGACTTGCCTTTTCTCCAGATCAGAACACGAACGGCCTGGGCAAGGTGAGAAGGCTCCGATATTTTTTCCACTTGCAGACTGATGACTCCCGCCGCAGGCTGTGACGAGATGAAACATTACTGTTACAGACTGAGACCTGATAGCAGACATGTGCACCTCTGAATGCCATGGAAGACTACCTGGGTCCTTCCATGAACCTTTGAATCCCCTAGCTTTGCCAGGCAGGTGGCAGACGCGAAGGCGTGCGCGTGCGCGCAATCAGCAAGACTAGCCAAAGATGCTGCATTTTCTTGTAGGTTCCTGAGACTCCAGTTGCCTCCAGTTCGCAGAGCTTTGTGTTCTCCTTCCTTTCCGTCGAAGTGGCATGCACATCATGCATGTGGAACCTGCATCGAGAACAAGCACGCTCAGTCATCCTGACTCCTCCTTCAATCCCTGAAGAATTTTAAGAATGAATGGGACATATTGGGGATTGGGCACCCACCTCTTGATGATGGAAGACATGGTCATCTCTATACCGTGATGGGGAATCCATGGTCCAAGGCTTACGTGTGCCCACCAACAGAAGGGGTGGTTCTCCGGTGGTGTTTGATTCTACAAACTTTGGAAGGTGGATTGCACCGAATACCCTGTAGCAGTTGATAAATTGTCCTCGCTTCTCTTGGAGTCAAATTATCTTTTCTTGACCTTACATTGGTCCTACTCGAGGCACAGTTCACCACAAGCATTGAAGTTTCCGTCATTTGGAGTCTCAGCAGATGGGTTACATCCTCAAGTCGCTGAGGTGATCATCCAACCTGTTTGATTTATTAGAGCTGCACAATTATCACAATTGCAATAAAGGTGCATCATCCTTTCCAACATGGTTTGATTTTCAATTATATATACTAGATGTATATATATTGGTTTCCACCTTGTTCCTGTTTGTTTTTTTCCCCTGGGCGCTCTAGGTTTGTACTTCAGGCAAGACAACTGTGACACCTTGTACTTGAAGATGCGAATTCATTGATGGTTGCCTCTGAAGGGGGCAACACACTGACCAAAGCTGCACACAGCAAAAGCGGTGGCAACCACATCCCTGTACTTCCTGCAGCTGCAGGAATGTAACCTCAATACCAATTGATCCCGATTGCTACAAGTTGATGTCACTTTCAGTAGTTGAGCACCAGAAATCCATAACATGTCAATATCATTCATAATATATGACCTCGTATAGAATGAAACAGTAGACATAGATTGACCTATAGCCAAATGGTTGTAACAACACTCGTTGCAAACAAGGTAGAGGTAAGACAGATCATTTTATATCATCACTGAGCACTGAGCAGAGCTCCTATAACAGTTTCATTCAGTTTGAACAAAGAGATCATCAGGTGGGTTTAACATGTGTTTTGGTTTACTTTGGATGTCCTATACACACACGTAATGTTGTGTTTGAGCCAGGAACCCCTGTTTAAACCGTGAAACACAAACTACTTAATTGCAGATTTGTCAAAATTGATCTTTGAGAAGAATTGGATTTCTGGATCAAGCAATTAAATAAGAAACACTGAACATCAAAGAAGAAAAGAACAGCACATCCACAAAAGAACAGCTTCCTGCCTTGAATCTTTGTTTACATATATAAGCATATATATATGTATATTTATAATGTTTATATACATATTCCATATATATATATATACAGTTAAATGAAGTGTGTGTTTTGAACTGATGTATCGAGCCTTCCGAGATTTCCGAATGATTTGCATCCTTATACTACATGATGTTCCCGTTTAAAAAAGAGATATCGTAGTGTTTCTCATATCTCACCGTTTTTTCCGTCTCTCAGCTTTTCAACGACAGTAAGTGTTGATGTTTCATGAGTTGGCAGTTGGGGATCTAAGGTCCCGTGTTCAACGAGGATCTAAGCAACGGGGATCTAAGGGGATTCTTTCGCAAACAAAGTAGCAAGCACAGGACTGGTACCATTAAATACCTATGAACAAATCTTTGCATCCTCATCCCACACCTCCCCGCCGAACCACTGGGCTACACCGGAATGCGTAGGATACTGTCAAGTCACGGCTACCAATGGTTTGGTTTGTGTGTGTTTTATAGTGAGACTAGTTCATGCTTCATGTTATTTCTGATTATGTTTAATACATCATAAGTCAAGGTAATGTCAAGGTTGGATATACAGTCTTCCTTCATTAATCGTCTTGACTCCATCCATCCACACACACATCAGTTCAATATGTTTAGGGTTCATCATTTGAGCAACACTCCACCGGAGCGTGGTTTCCCGAACTCCTCGGTTTAGGAGATCACGCCGTCATGCACCATGAAACACGCGATGTCATGTCGTTCTCATGTCGTTCTCCCTGCACAACAAGATAGTCAGGAGAAAATATGGCCTGTTCATATTTCAACATAAGCAATTCAATATTCATATAACAATAGCTATATATATATATATGAGATCCAGCTGGTCACTTGCAGATCCTCCCCGCAGCTTAGCTGCTCGCCGCCGCGTCTCCCAACGACTCGATGGTCGTACGACTTGCCCGGGAGGTGGACATGGAGCTCTTCTACCGGATGCTCCGGGAGACCATGACCTGACGCCGAAAAAAAGGATGAGCTGGTGTGTGAGGGTTGATAGACCGTGATATTGAGAACCTTCTATCCAAGCTGTACTATAGAACACTAGAGGTGCTAGAGCTTCGGTGCTAGAGATTAAAAAGAAACGCATTTGTCCTACTGTCCTTTCCCCATGTTTCTTCCATTGTTTGTGGGGTCACTTGCGAGGAAAACGCCAAAGTGGTAGTGAGTCAGGCGCATCACCAGCCACGTGATGTCGGGCTGCGCAGAACCAGGGCCATTGGAGACCCTGGGACAGCACTGAGGACCATTGGAAACCAAACCAAAGACTCGCAACATTTGGTGAGTAGAGGTCCCAAGGTGGATCATCCCACATGTGTCGATGGGCAGCGCCGCTAGTCCACTAGCTAGACATGTGCTCCTGTTCCAAAAATGGTGGACGTGCACTGGACCTGGTCTATGAACGGCTCACATGCCAGGGTCTTGGAGCGGCTCCGGCAACGCTTCAGTGAGGAGATTCAGGCAACGAGTTGAGATGGACGGGACAATGGCAGACCAAGACGGACCAAGACGGACGTAGGGCCATTGGGATGCGTGGATTGGGCTGAGACTCCTGGCGGCTCTTGAATGTTTGAACTGTTTGAGTTGGAATCTCCATCCTTTTGGCGGGTGAAATGTACACCTTGGAGCGACAAATAGCCTTTGTTTCAAGCTCGTGTTACCATTTCAGTGGATTGGGCATATTTTGAAGGTCAGTGTAGCTTTTCATCGATGTCTATCGGTGGTTTGGAAGCTGACATTAGGAGTTTGGAACGTCCTTGCAGCTTGCAGCTGGGTTGGTTCATAGACATCCTCCCTTGAGGGTTTGGGCTCGTGTTTAGGAATGACAACCCCTAACCAGTTCCCCCCGAACATTGGAAATATGGGACTGACGACTCCGGGTTGATCACTTGAGGATTCCCATGCCCATAGGAGATATTCCCAATGACCCCCCAAATCTCACACAGAAGTGGTATGCATATCACCTACATGCCGGTGTTTTTTTGAGAGTGTTCAGTGCACATCGCTTGGCTCAAACACCGAGATAGCAAGCGGGGTCTGAGATAGCAAGCTGTGGAGCAAACACTGGACTGATCCATTGGTTGTGTTTTATGTTAAGAAACCCCCGGACTCCCCACACCCCGAAAGAACAAGGGGGCAGCCAGTTCCCTCTATAGGTATACTTTGCAATGCAGTGTTCTTGACTTCTGCTTACAGTCACATTGCTGAGTACATATAGGAGAAGAATGAAGATCATGTGAACAATCATGTGGATTCCACTGGCTTCCACGCGCAGCCCGCTGGGTGCTGACATCGTTATACAAGATTCTGGAAATCTCTCTTCGTGGAAGCCAGATACAGGACAATCATGGAGAAATGATGGTTGTTGATCGTTTCGATTCTTCAGCAGAGCATCTTTATAGTTAACATCATTGAGTCTTCGATTCATGCTTAATCATGGTTTGTACCATTGTACCCGAGTGAACAAGTTGCTGTGTTGAATTGTCCGGTTGCCGAGCCGTTCCCCATCGCTTCCTTCCACCTCCACTTGAGCTTCGCCATGAAGCTCTCAGAGCTGCTACTCACCGGCGGCTCCAAAGGCGCGAGCGGATGTGGAGAATAGCGATGGCTTCCAACCTACTTGCGATGGCCTCCAACCTAAGAACAATGGCCTTTGTCCATATATAGAAGAGGTAAGAGCATCGGATCTCAGATCCTGTGACTGTGCTTTTTCCGAACGAAGCAGGTTGCGAAGTCACTGTGCCTTTTCCGCCAAGAACGCTCCGTCACGAGTTTGGAGGTTGTACTGAGTCGACCGCGATCGACCGTGCGGCCGCAGGTGCGCCCATGTCACTACCGTCCAGCTTTGATGGCACGCTGGGATACATGCGGATGGCAGGGGTCTCTACGATTGAAGGAAGACGGTTCAATCCTG